TTCTGCTGTCTTCTTTGTGGAAGCCAGAAGTCACAGGAGTCAAGTTTGAATATATGAGATACCTAGAAGATCCAATTTACAAGTCACAGATTCTGGTCTCAGATGGTTTGTATGGTTGATTCCTATTTCTGTGTTCTGCAGCTGCCACTTATTGAATCTTCCCAGTCCGCCCTCCCTGTTTTAACACGAATCTTACTTGGGTAATTATGAACAAATAATACAAATATCATTCACAAGTAGCCCAATGGTCAGTTTTCAGTATAAAGATCATGTGAGATCTCACATCAGTTGGGGAAGAGAATGAAACATTCTTTATAAAGGTGTGGAAACCTCTTCTTAGCAGACGCATTTTAAAAACCTTGAGAGAAAGCCTGAAAAGGAAAACCCAAAGAGGACAATATCTGCTAGCGGTGGACTTGAGTTGTTACAGATGGTATCAGGGCTAGACACAGGGCAATGTGCCAGTGAGGAGACTGAGCCCCAAAAGGGGGTGGACACGAGGCGGTGTGCCAGCAAGGACGCTGGACCCCGAAGGGGAATGGATTGGGGGTCTCACATCAATTGGAGAAGGTAACGAGAGTGCTAATGAGGACGTTGGGCCCCTAAGGGGGGTGGATTGTGAGATCACACATCAGTTGGAAGGAGAACAAAACATTCTTTACAAGGGTGTGAAGACCTCTCTCTTGTAGACACATTTTAAAAACCTTAAGGAGAAGCCCGAAAGGAAAAGCTCAAAAAGGACAATATCGGTTGGGTTGGGTTGTTAGAGATCATCAACCAGCCTTGAAATCAAAACCAATTCAAATTCTAAAAGAACAACGTACCTTGAGTATATAAGGCGCCCTCTGCAGACAAACCATATATGGCAGCATAATGGTGCCTGTTGGGATACAAAGAAGGCTTTCTTGGACTTTAACCCTGTGGACATCCTAATAGTGTAATTGAGATATAAATAAACAGATCTCACAAATAACATTATGATGAAACTAAGCTATTGTTGCCAAAAACACAAGCAAAAATTCCAGAAAGTTCATAGTAAATGATGCATACTTCAGATTGTATCTTTCTGCATCTAAACCCATGACTAGCCATTTAATACTGTACTGAGCAATAATTTCAACAATCCCCCTCTCAACACTGTTCGTCTCAATCAATACCTTTTGCGCTCGTACCTACAAATTAAGCGAATTCATCGATTTGAGTAATAACCAATAAAAAGCTTTTCACTGATAATACCACCTGTCTACCCATTCATTAGTTAAGATAGTGTAGCATGCTACAGCAGTCTTTATAATAATTAAATTTATCTTGAACTAATATGGGAATTGAAATGGTACCCCCAGTTTGGCAAGAATGAGAACATATTGATTAAGAAGTTCAAAAGACTTTTGCCTTTCGAGTTCTTCAAATGCGTTCGCTACATGTTCTTTTAGTGTATGGGAAGATGGATCTTCATTTTCTGCAGGTAAGGATAACATTGTATAAGAACACATATGATACACAAAAGGAACCGGCACTAGAAGTTGACAATTACTTGAAACAAACAGATCAAAACAAGAGAGAAGTGTCGATTTCAGAGGCTGAAGGAACCTTATATCCATTCAAAACCAAAAGGGGACTGCATTACAACCAACCAAAAACTAGCCATTCCAGAACCAGATCTGATTTTGAATTGGCAGCTGACCTATAAAACCACCCAAGCCCCTTCACTGATTCAGTGGCACATAACTAAAGGAAATTGAAAGATGTGAGTATTAGTTGAAGACGGCGAATCACAACCACAATTCCCAATCCCCAATCCTATTGAGAGCACCGTAATGTTGAAGATTTCATTAATTGGGTAGCTTAGAGCTCTTTCTAGACAGTCAATCAGCAGAGATAGCAAATGATGTGAAGCGAAATCGTTAGAAATTCTAGGCATTGAGTAAGAGCATATACTTCAATAGCAGAAGATTGTAGCAACAGATATGGAAATCCAGGGGTACAAAACTCACTCGGAGAACTAGCTCGAGGGGTAAGCTGATGAACGTGAAGCAGACAAAAACTGTTGCCAGCAAAGTTCTGGACAGCCCAAAGGAGAGTAGCTTTGGCGTCGTCGGCGTCGGTTCCCACTGCAACAAAGATAGTGTCTTCAACATCGAATTGCAGGTGTTGTCCAGTCTCCTCGGCAGTGCCCATTTGCAGGAAGCTACCAATTGGCAAAGCAGCAATGGAATTTCGACATCGCTCAACAAGTGATAACTGTATGATTGAGATTTGTTTGGGATTCGACTACGCGGTGCCGGAACCGACAGACGGACGACTCGTCTTAGGTGACAAAGTCACACACACCAACTCAACAACCAATCAAGCTTGGAATTTTGACGTGGATTCCTTACTACTTAAGTCGGCCGAATTTTCTTTTTTCTTTTCACCCGATAATTATTAAGAATTAATTTATACTTCTCTAATTTACATTATATTCTAAAAATAATATATAAAATTATTTTGCTTACATTTATATCTCTCAATTTCGAATTTGAATTTATCTGAAAAAAAAAAAAAAAGTTTAAACTTTATATGATTCCAATCTAAAATAGAAAAAATAATCGTTAAACTATCAAGTGAATGCTTTTTTTGTGGGTAAAACATTTAATGCTTTTTTTAAGCTAATTGGACGGTGTCGTCATCAGCTCAACCAACAAAAAAAAAAAAAAAAAAAAAAAAAGGGAATGAACCAAATAAAGTAGTACAATCTAAAGAGGAAAATTAAACAATCTTGTAACAAAAGCTACCTTAGTTATAATCTACTCTAATTAGTATGACCAAACCCATATATTAATAATATAAAAATCTTTTAAAATCAAGATTACACAAATTTGAACTTAAGCTACCACTTAATTAAGTTCTCTCAGCTTCCAACATTCAATTGCTATTAGAAAATAACTAATGCCTGTGTTCAGCATGTGCCTTTGGTTAGAAAACCACATGTACAATAATTTCAAGCTAATGAAACGCTGCATTCCTTCCAAGCTAATGAAAATGTATCAAAAAGGGATACAAATGGCTGTAAGGTTCATTAAAAAAGGAAGACTTGAAGAAATTAAAAATATGCGTTCTAATACCTGTCATAGTTCACACTAACACAAGGTTAAAAAATGCACTGAATTTCATTCTGGGTAACAACAATAACAATCTAGAACATGTCTCTAACAAAATGAAACTTGGAGCTTCAAAATTGACCACACAAGTTTATTTCTTCTTCTCGCCGCCTCCACCAGCTCTGTATCAAAAATTAATTCAGAGAAAAAAATCCCATAAGAAATGTGTTTTCATCAAGTATAATCATTGAAAATATGTCAAAATTGAATGAGGATTAAATTCAATGATAAGAAGAGAAATTGAAAGCCTTTCTAAGAATACCTCATTTTGCGGAGAACGCTGGACATCTCCTCTCGCTTCTTCTTTGCTCTCTTGTGAGTTCCCAACTTTCTCTTGGCCACTTTTAGTGCTCTCTTGTCCTTCCCAACTTTAAGAAGCTCAGTGATTCTCTTCTCATATGGTGCAAACCCAGCAACTTCCCGGATCAAATTCCTCACGAAGAGAACTCTTTTGCTACTTTTCTATGGTATCAATCAAATTCAGGCAAACATAAATGATGAAGGTCAATTGCTTGTATCTACCAACTAAAATAACTTCGAAGAAAACCAATAATCCAGAACAAGACAACTTTAATTTTGCATGATATAAGAAGCAAATTGACAATATGCATATGCTCAAGATCCCCATAAAGTGGACTCCATTGCTAATTTTCAACAGTATCAATCTAATTGAGCGCAAGTGGATATAAGGTAACAGCTAAAATATCTTTGAATGAAATTGATACGAACCAAATAGGTCTCCAATCAGACTTGAAATGTTTGATGAAAATCTATCCCCTTGCTTTTAAGCTTTTGTAAAGTAATAACTACTAACGATAAATATAATTAAAAAAAAAAAAGTCCTACTAAATAACCCCTTCTCAAGCTTCATTTCGCAACAAGTAGACCCCACCTTTATCCGCCACTAAAATTCCAGATAACTAAAGAGATGCATACAATCAACTCAATAAAAATTTAACGAATATCTACCATTACAAAATGTACATTGAACAAAACACAAAATTAACTCACTCCTTTACGATCTGAGGGGCGGGGAGCCAACTCTTTCTTCGTAACAATGTGTCCTTTGTTAAGTCCCACGAAGAGACCAGTATTCGGCTGCTTCGGAGCCATCGCCTGTCAAAACATACTGCGAATCAGAAGTTCATCTACAGTAACGAGAGCAGAAAACTCGACTGCTTATCCACCCGAAAACAAAAAAGTACTAGGAACTACTCGTTTGATCCAGGGGAATGAATAGTAAACGTCAGTAGAAGAATCAAAATCTGGAGCAAATAACCAAACAGGAAAATATTGTGTTCAATTATATTACATCAAAGATGGAGAAGGAGAAGCAAAAGAATCGAAGATCATGAAAGGTTTCTCGACGTACCTTCTCGGATAAACTTGAACCAAATGATCAGAGACGAGCGAAAGGGTTCGCTAGGGTTTCGGGAGCTTCGGCTAATAAGAAAATATTGACAGGTGATGGTTTCTAAACGTTAACGGGCTTTATTGGGCTTTCTTCCACAAACGTTAATGGGCTTCGTTAGAAACTAAGAAATTGAGCCCAATAGAGAAGATAAAGCCCAAATTTAGAGAAGATAAAGCCCAAATTTAGAGAAGATAAAGCCCAAATTAAACAATCATACAAGACTTAGCGTAAAAATGGATTGAAATTAGGTTGTCATTTATTTGGTTCATGACTCGTTCATTTGGTTCATAACTCAAAATAATTTATTTTGTTCATCTTTCATTTATTTGTTCATATCCTTTTTGGTTTATCTTCTATTTTGATGGATGAATAATATAACATTAATGCTTCTATGCCTATATAAATGATTGAGTTTGAGTGGGTGAGTTGGATCGATGACGCCAAACTTTAGAATTCCACTACATCACTCAGCTGCTAAATCAATAGTTTCTTAACCATTCTATGTTCTAAACTTTTGGGTAATTTTCTCTACTCCTTCCCTACAATCTCCCACAACTCGCTTAGCTCCCACCTTCACGGCCAACCTCAACTCTGCAATGCTCTGTTGCACCTCAGTTGCTGATCTACATGCCCTTGAAATGGCCACATTCTTTAGATCCTCACCCTGTTCTCCAGCATTCGAAATCCATTGTCTCAAGTTTGATACTACTAATGCTATCTTCTGGATGATCTTCTCAATTATGTCCCTGCATTTCCCTCCTACTTCTCTAGCCATTCCTTTCAGCTTGGCCAATAAGTTCTCGGCCCTTTCCACAGTTTCTTCGACTGCAAACTGTTTGCTAGAATCGAGCCAAGTATCGCCAGCTGATTCCTGTTCACGGAGATCGCTGTCCACCATTACTTTGATGCCACGCCTTTCCCAGCTATCTCTAGCCTCTTCAAGTGCTTTTGCTTGTTCTCTTGCCCTTTTTGCTTCATCCTCTGCCCAAGCTCTGTGTAATGAAACAAAAAGACATGTTGATGAAAGTAAAACCAGATTCCTTCTCACGGTGAAGATCTTCATTGAAGGCAGAAAAATGCTTCAAATTTCACATGAACAGAGGCAAAGGATAAGATAAACAAACAAATCAAGGGCAATTTACCCAATCATTTCATGTACAGTGTCAGCCTCAAACATGAAAAGAGCTGCAAAAACCTTACCTGGCTATGGACAACGCCTTCCTCTCAACTTTAAGCTCATACTGCAGGCGGGAAAGTTCCTGGTTTTCAATTTCAGCTTCTTTTCTGAGTTTGTTGATTCTTTCCTTTTCATAGGATACCTGTACTTTATTACTCATCAGGCCTTGCAACTGCTCCTCCAACTCATATCTTAACTTTGAAAGAACTCCCATTTCCGATTCAATAGCAGCTTGTTCCCTCATCAAGCTGATATTATCTCTCTCTCTTTCGGATCTTAATCTTTCCAATTCTTGCTTTGTCTCTTCTGCCATTTTCTCCACAGCCTCAACCTTTTCTCTTTCAATGGAAAGTTCTTTCTCGAAGCTGCCATTAATATCTTTCTCAACTTGAGCTACCAACGCACTATGTGCAGCAACAGCATTTTCCGCCATTGATTCAGCTTCAATCCTTGCAAGCTCCTCGCTTACCATATCAGAAGCCTCCCCTGTTGCAAGAGCAATGGCAGCTTGTTCTTTTGTTACTGGCTTATCCGGCTGGAACAGCCTTGTATATCCTTTAAGAAGCAAAGTTAGTTTTGACATGAATTTCTTAAGGAAAATGTTTTTGCGAATTGCAATTTTAAGCACGCACCAAATGCAAGAGCTATTATTCCCTGTTCTCCTGCAGAAAGATCAGCAACAAGTGCAGGACAAGCATCTGGATGGATCTTATCAGTATCAATAAATCCAGAAACTTGGCGGAGCATCTGCATATCAGTCAAGCCAAACTCTCACAAAGATGATTCTTATATACAAAAGTGAAGATGTCGAAGTCAAGCTTCAAATAATTTGACCTTTCCGTCTGCCTCTGGCAGCAGTCTTTTTTCAAGGGCCATCTTCCAGCTCACAAGATCTTGACGTGATAAAGGGCTGCAGTTTTGGACATAGTATAAATAGCAGAAGCAATTTAGCTCGTATTATGGTTGATGAGAAAGAAATCACAAATCAAAGAAGGCCAGTCAATGCAATTGAATATGTTAAGAAGTCCAACGGCGAAGAAATATCATTAATGGTGAATAACCTTTCGGGAGAGAAATGAAAAGAACCCTGGTCTTCGTCCAACGTCGAAGAAATATCATGTCTCGAAAGCTTGCTTGAAATCAGTCCAGCTTCTGCTAAACCTGGAATATATAGGTGAATCAGAAGGTGTAATAGAAAAGGCTCATATCCCATGAGTCAAGTATCCTAGTTCCTACTGACCTTGAATAGATGCGAAATCAGGGTCTTCTGGTGTAATATCATCAAAAGCAAGCTCAGTAATATTCTGTATATACATTGCTTGGTATACTTTGGATGTTGTGTTCCTAGGAATTAAAATGATTCCATTGTATCATAAGATATATTCAGGAAAACCATAACTAAAAAAGTTCACCATTTCAATACCCTAAAGCTGCAATGATAATTACCTTGAAAGAGCACTGCTTGCAGACACCAACCAACGAGCATATTCACGACGAGTACATAGATCGCTAGGTTCAATGTCAGCCTCTATCACCTGAAGAATTTACAATCTTTAAAATACATTATATTGAGTATCTGAACCAGTAGCTGTGTGTTAATCAGAAGGAAGCATTTGGAGAGGCATCACACAGTACCTTTAAACCTTGCAGTGCTGCCAATGCCTGCCCCTGAACCTGATCCACTGCTGCAGGAACTAGGACCTTGCCAGGAAGTGTTTTAACAGCTGCAGAAACCAAAGGAGCAGGAACACCTGCAGAAGAAAATAAAATCCCTTTAAGTTCTGGTTTGGCATTTTTCACTTGAACATCTGCCAATGGATAAGCTGTGATACAGACTAATGCCGCTTCAGATAATCCTCTTTCTATTTGCTGTTCTATGGTTGATGCAGTTTTTCTGGGGCTCAACTCCTTTGGGTGATTCAGCCACAGTCTCTTTGTCAAATAATCCACAATCCTTGGCTTTTGTGTAGCCACACATGCTAGAAATTTCTTGCAACGAAGAATCTGTAATTTCATTTACAGGAGGACCAAATGTCTCATCCTGGTTGCCAGAATTATAGTTTGAAGAACTATCATCATACACTGGTAAGCTCTTAGAGCTGAAATCATAATTTTTACTCGTGTCAGCGGTTTCATCCCGAATATCAGTTCTAATATTTCGTTCATCTTTTAATATATTCATTTCAGGTTCATGACAGTTGTTGACATCTTTAAAACAAGAAGCTACTTTAGCATCAATCTCAAATTCGGGTGAGATCGAGGAACACAAACTTCTGGAAGCAACTAATGTAACAGCTAACGAGGAATCAGATCAAAAATCTTCTTGCAAGGAAGCAACATTATAAACATCATTATTGCTAATGCTGGATGAGAATTCAACATCATTTTCTGTATATGAAGAAGATTCCTCTTGATTACCTGAATTATCAGCGAGAGCTCCATCATCTGCTTTCACAATGTTATCTTCTTTTTCATCTTCATCAAGGCTATCATGTCCAGTATCAGAATCCAACAATAACTCTTGCTGCATACTTAAGGCCTCCATTTGCGGCTTTTGTCCTATGAATTGTCATATACATATTCGCGCAGTAGTCAGATAAGAACACAGATCAATTATAAAGAGTTGGGGGCAATAAACATGAGCATTGAAACAAAGCCAAAGAACAGTCTGCAAGTATACAAGAAAACTACTTACTGGAACCATTCTGCTTGTTCATTGACCATGCTGCAAAGGTGATTCCCGAGACAAGGATGAATCCAGTAACTCCAATCCCCACGAACCCTGAAAGAAACTACTTCAAAACCATTACTACTCATTACTTAAAAGAGTACTCGAGCACATAAGGTAAACTTCAAAAGCTACATTAATGTCAAAATCTCAAAATGAAAAGGCTTAAATTGTTTCCAGGAACTAAATGATGCCACTAAACACCATTATACGCATAACCAATCAACGTTTCAACTACAAATGGACCTTCCACATGGAATTGAAATCTACCATGTCATGGTCATTACAGCATTAGTGGTTTAACATATAGAGCAAAATAACGGCAATGCAATTCAACATGGGGCGAGAAGAATTTCTCCAATAATTCAAACCCATATTCTTATCCATATAAACCGTCAATATAAACCGGAGGGAAGAACGAAACATTTTTTTTACAGGAGTGTAGAAACTCTCTTCCTAAAGGCATGTTTTAAAACCGTGAGGTTGACGACAATATGTAACAGGCCAAAGTGGACAATATCTGTTAACGATGGGCTCGAGCGGTTATAAATGGTATCGGAGCCCGACACTGGTGTCAGCGAGGATATTGAACCCGGGTTCATAAGGAAATTTAAAGAAGTGCAGTAAGTACCTCCAAACCACTTCTTTCTCCGTAAGTCCAAAACCTCCTCCCCGGAATCAGATTCCGACCACCCAGAGAATCCATCAGTAGTCGACTCCGACTCAGCAAAAGAAACTCCACTGCGACGCAGTCCATTTTCTCTCTCGATTATCACGCCATTATGAACAATAGGGCGGGAGATCACGCGGAGCCGAGGATCCAATTTCGTCACTCTCGCCCGAACAAGAACTGAAGGGAATTTGCCGCAATTCTTGCTATTCAGAGCGAGCCGAAGCTGGAGAGAGCTCGGTGAACACGTAAGAGGAGTGGAAGCCATGAAAAATCCTACTCCAATAGCAGATTGAGTAGCTTACAATAAAATGAAGAATGAACAGGAGCTATGATTCAGGAAGCTAAGGCGGATAATTCTCGCTTCAAATTGAGAAAAGAAAATTTGAGGTCGAATTACCGAAGAGCATAAAGAATAATGCTTTGGGGGTTTAAAGGATCGAAGAAAAGGATGATAATTTTTTTTTTACTCATCTCTCCCTCCGGACGAATATGTCTGTACGTTTCATGGTTTCACTACATAAAATTTTATATTTCGAGGTGGACGAGGAAAATTTTGGAGCTTTTAATAAAATATAATATTTTAACTAATTAAATTACCTTCCCTATTGTAAAAGTAACAACAATTCTACGAAAATAAATTTCTAATAAATACAAATCCAAACAAAAAGTTCTTTCAATTTCGAGTAATAAGAAATGGCAATCTTACCGTGTAATCTCAACTCATTCTTATGCTAGAAGTCATTTCCATTCCAAAAGAATTAGAGCCTGAAACATTTTACGCTCATGAACAATAATTCTAAACACTTCGCTAGTAACATATTCCCTAAGAAATAAACCTCTCCACAAAATCGATCCAATAGGTTTTGAGAGTTCCCGACCGAAGTTAAGGTTTGCTATGGCTGCATCTTCATAGACCAATCAACTTATGGTTACCATGGTATTGCAACCATAGAAGCATGAGTTAGCTTACATTTTCAGTTTCATATGCTACAATGGGAAAAAAAAGGGAAATTTTGTTCTAATTTCAGCCGTGAAACATAACTCAAACACATTTCAGGAACAAAAAAGATTAATACATTTTGGAGTAGCCAGTTTATCATTAAAATTGCTGGATCTCTTTCATGTCCAACGACCCATCTCAACTATAGCAAATAAAATTGTGAATACAAAAGCTCCCGAATTTTGTAATAATCTTCACATAAGGGTCCTTCGATGACAACTTGTTGAGTACCAGAACCACCACCCTGCATAAATTGAATATACTACGTTTATGCTTAGAAGCAAACCATGAAAATGGTACTAGCCAAACAACACCATCACAAGCAAATATGCATTCATTTGTGGTATGAAGCTGAAACATGGTTCAAATTCGATAAGCAACATTAAGAGCCATATTCAACTTATCTATTTGCCCCTTTTTTTAGAATTTCTCACCTTCTGACGTGCATCTGAAACCTTGCGTAGGGTAACATACTCGCCACATCTCAAAGCACCCCCAGCAAATTCAACCTGCAATGCATATAGGACGATCATATCGTTCACTTTTAACGCTCTATTGTAGCTTTAGTGTCTATACATGTCAGAAAGGAGATATTCGTTCCCATTGAGAAGGGAGGGATTCACAGGCAAAGATACCTGTATTCCCTTGCTGGAAAGAAATTGTTTGAAGTCAGCCATTTTTAGATCCCCAACAAGAACAGATTTATGAGGCAAAGCGGCCTTTGAGAGGGGAAGTAAAGACAACGTTCCATTCTCGGTCTTTCCTACATCAGCATCAAGCCACGAGATTTCATAATCTCCTAGCTGTATTCGTAATTATGTCAGGCATCGTAGGGAAGACTGCTTACACTGATACATAATACAAGTTAATATTGGAGGAAAATTTCATGGATCTCCAAAAACTTTACCTTCTTAAACAGCACATTGCTCATCAGCTTCTCTGAAAGTTGTACCTGAAATTCAAGAATTGGAGATTTGTTAGCCTCAATATTTGAAATGACAACCTGAAAAGGAAATGAACAGTCTCGACTGTACCTTATATGCACACAGATCAGAAGTAACATCAATCGTTTCTTCAATTTGGGGGGCATAGACATGGGGACAGACATTTTTAAGGCAATGTTGTTTAATATGCTCAGTGGCCTCTGCAGTTCCATGCACCAAGACCTTCAAACAACAATTTAAATAAATAAATAGATAGAATCAAACGGTTGAATCGTTGATTAAAGTAGTTTTTGTGGTAACACTGAACAATGTCTACAAAAAGCTATTACAACTACACGGATGTGGAAATTTAAGAACACGGCTAATAGGAAATTTCTCAGAATACACCAACTTAGCTAAACTGAACTTTCACCCTACAATCAATATTTACAAGTGCACAAGCTCATACACAACACTAAGAGCAGTTGTAAAAAAACACCATACAAGCTTCAAGGGAGCAACGTGGGAGAGTATTGATTTAATTGATCTCCCATCTGAACGACCTTCGAAATCCATGTAATGCAATGAGCATTTAACTTGGACCTGGATAGGGAAATTACAGAAAAAATCATTGATCCAACCAATAGATAAATAACTTGATTGTATCATCAAATTGAACATAGGTACAAAGATGATCAATGGAAAGTATAAATATTAAGCATTTTAAAAAAAAAGTGATATATCAGGAAAAAAAATATATATTTATACACTTACACACACAAAGACAGATCAGTGAGATATTTTATTAACCCATTATAACCTTCTCCTATTAAGTCAAAGATTTTCCTTAAAATAAACATTATATACATATACTGGAGACAATAACATTAAATACACATTCATGTGAATTCAGCCGACCGATAAAAACCTTAAACAGAACTTTAACAGGAGATCAACTTACTGTCAATTCGTTAGATACAACTTTTGAAGGCTTCATATCCAGAATCAAGTTAGCAGCAGTTTCATCTAGTTTTCCATCCACGTCCACACCACCCTGTAAGTATGATTCTAGTAAATTAGCAATCATCCATTCACAACAAAAAATGACGAAGGGCATAAAAGTCCATTTGACTGTGTGTCCCAACAATATGAATTGGCTACATGGATGCATTTTGATCTTCACACGGCTGTTCCGAGGGAATTTGATAGCAGTCCTTAGCTGTTACTTTTCATTCCTCTCAATGTTGGTTACTCATCAGCATTAATAATATTGACAAATCTCAAAACTAAATATATATATATCCTATTCCTAAAACCAGCCCAAGCAGGATCTTACATTCCAAATGTTATTGAACAAAATGGTTTCTATTCTCAAAAAAAAAAAAAAACAATAAATAAATAAATAATACAAATCGGTTTCCTAAATTTTACCACAAGAAAGGCTTTCTATTTCAACCCACAACCTATCAACCAATTTAACATTTCATTTCAATCAATCTTACACGTGTCCAGGAATCAAATGCAGATAATTACATCAAAGAATCTTACATGCGGCGCTGATTGGTCCATGTCTTCATCCTTAATTACATAATCATCAGGATTGATTACTTCACCAAAATCATCCCATGCGGAAGTGTTTTCATAAAAGGGAAACATTGGAGAAACGCTTGTTGAAGGAGGAACAAAACCATCAATAAATATGTCTCGGTATGCACCTCCATGTGAACCAACTACTGCAAGATACAATCAGCAACCAATCAATTCCACTAACAATTATTAAAACGTACATTAAAACAATTCCAATAAAAAAACACAATCATAGGCATGTATGGGGAATTTTTCACAGTTTAAACCACTAGATGTCCATTAGCCAAATACAAAGAAATGAAGGGAGATTTTACAGTAAAGTGTAAATGAATGGAAATTGATTCAAAGCAAATCATAAATCACCGACCATTTGATGATTGCAGGTTAGGATCCTCATTTCTAGTGTCACTGAAATGCATGTATATTCTTAGGACTAAGAAAAGATAGTGACACCTTCAACTAAAATAACTGGTGGTGCCCAAGCAATGGGGATATTTATAGCATTTCTAAACCATCTTAAAACCTGGCACATCAGTGTACACTTCGTGTTCTATGTTTCCATGATAGAGTTTGGGAAAACATTTTGCTAATATTTATGCAACCAAATCCTATTTTCGCTTAAAATGTCTTTTCCAATTCAAGTAAAAAGTTTGGATGCTCATAATTTCCTTGCTAAAAAGTTTGCACGTGTCTAGAAAACTGCAGTTATCAATCATCATACCATCTGGTGCTACATTACTGCTAGCATCAATGATCATTGGATCGCCAGTATCGTTATCAGTTCCATGTGATGCTTTAGATTGTTCCTCCTTAAGCAAACTAGCCTTAAGAGCTTCTTCCTTTTTCCTGTTTTGCTCTTCTTCATAAGCAACGAGCTCATCTCCAGTCAAAGGGACTCTCTTAGACACAGTTACCTTAACAGCTTTGGGAGGTGGATCTGCTTGAAGCATGCGGGCCAAAGTTCCAAACTACATTTTCCAACTGATGGGGGTTACACATTCACAATATAAGTGTAGAAATTATAAGAGTTCAAAGAAGCCTGCAGTTGATCAGGTATATGCAGAAGGGGGAGAATGAAAGAAAGGAGAAAAAATTACTTTACCAACTTCCAAGCACAGTCATAGCAAGACACGCCCATGGCACCAAGAGTATACATTTTTTAAGAGAAACAACTTTTCATTGAGAAAAAATGAAATAATACATAGGCAAGAGGTGGTTAGGGCTCCAAGTACACACACTCCTTCTCCCGATCCTAAAATCAAACTCTTCTATCAAAGATAGAATGATTGTGACATCCGTCGCTTTCCTATCAAACAAAGGACGATGGAAATCGAACGAAAAGGAAAAAAGCTCCCTAACAAAACTATGTCATCAGCCACAAAGGAATTTTTCGAGGAGGAAAATGATAAAGACAAGGAAACAAAGTGCACCTAGAATAATCGACTACCAATGAATCAATACTTGCTAGAACTTCTACAAGAACAACAAAGAAGGAAACTACGAATAATATTAAAAGTGTTTTGATTTTCTATTAAAGAAACTCTAGTCAAATGGAAGATGTTTAGAAAATGGGAACAAAGATGGAACGGCATTTATGCAAGGTGTAAGAAATCAATTTTGGAGAACAGTTACTCAGTTCCGAGGACTGAAGATAAATAGACCAAGACATGAAAAATCACTATAAGTCTGCCTTGCTAATCATGTAAACAAGTTGCTAAAGAATACCTGGCCTCTTTCAGAAAAAAGGACGAGATTTTTGGCATCCGTTGCCCACTCAACAAAAATGTCATGTGAGTAACCAGCTTCCAAACTAGCCATTGATGCTAGAACAACCTATAAGACACCCCATATAAACGTCAATACATTTAAACCTCAAGCAAAAGGAGGTAAACATATAACAAAATTAACAATTTGTTGCAATCAACCTTTGGTCCATCTGGAGCATTATCAAGTTCACTTTTGTTTATTAGAAG